CCCAAGAGTTGGCGGTGGGTGGTGATGACTAGCTGCCTTCCGTCTAGTCTTACATTGCTAAATTAGGAACGGCTAGCGCAGATAGCCCTCGTGTAGCTTTGCGCGAAATCCATAACAAACAAACAGATTTAAAAGTTCAACTCATCGGGCGAATGAATTCTTTTCCACCATTTTGGTTTCTGTACTTCATTTTCTCGGTAAAATTTGACTGTTTTGCACATTCTTAAAATAGTGTTAAAAATGTTTTCTTCGTATTATTATTATTTATTTTTTTTTACTGCATCACACTTTTAATCCTGCTGTAAGGTTGTGACAGGATGTCTAATGATGTACAACGTTTACTTGTGATCAAATTTAACTAAGGCAAGTTGAACGTCGTAACTTTCGTGAAATACTTGTCTGATACACGGTTATTTCTAGAGAGACTTCAACAGTTATTTAAGAACATCACCGCAAAAATTTCAGTGTTTGCTAAGAAACCACACACACAATCACCTCCTGTATACACTTCTGTAGTCGTATATGTTTTATACATCATTGTGGTTTTGTTTTAACCAGTGTATAAATAGAAGGACATTAACGATGCCCTCTAGTGGTAAAGCAATAAGTCTGAAAGCTGGGATTTGATATCAGAGTTGGGCACATCATAGATAGCCCATTGTGTACTTAACTGCAAACAAAACAACGATCTGCGTTAGCCATTGTTAATTTAACCTATGATCTGCAGTACTGATATTTTAGAATAAAAAAATGGCACTGATATCTGATGTTATACGTAGATACAAATTTTTAGGAGTTATATTTTATGCTAAAATCAAATACAGGGGTTATTTCGAATGTTTAAATACTTCGGAAAATAATTGTTACACCTTACTAGAGATATGTAAATAAAAACTGCCACAAGGGTAGCAAGAAAAAAGTAATTGACTGTCACATTGGTTACGCATCAACAGATCAATGAAATATAAAATGCTTGAACTCTCGACAAAGACTAGACGAATATAATTTTTCTCGCTAGTATCGTGCAGCTCTGTGGTTGAATCCTTGTCTCTCCCACAATGTTGACCTAAGGTATTGGATACCAGTTCTTAACTCGTCATTAGGAGAGTTTAATTATACTTTTACACCTGTTTTTGAAATTCTTGTTTCAACGTTACGCAGTTTGCAACTTTCTTTCGCACGTGTGACAATACTTGGGATCTCTATTGGATCCATATTACTGGTTTCGGCGTTACGGCCAAAATTTTAAGGGTGTGTGTGGAGATCCACTGTTTTTCTCTTAACTATATTTATTTTTGATCAGGGTAGTCAAGCTCGTGTTAATTATGCACGAGTCCCTTCAAATCTGTAGCTGTAGAAACCTAAGCCTTTTTTCTTTCTATTTGCCCTTGTCCAGGGCTACTGATGAGTGGTGGAATTCCCCGAAACCTGTCAATTAAATGACATATATGTATATTTTCAGTATTTTAAACATCCCGTCTGTTGAATAACTCAAAAGTAATATATTACTAGCATCAGTGCTACGTTTTTTTTTATCAAATCTCGTATAAATACAGGTTTACTGTGGTAATTGGACGACAACTTTTAATACACCATAAATATAATCCAAGACTTGCTAAGTTTTGTTAAGTTATTAATACAGTTTCAAATACTCAGAACAGGGACATAACATGAAAATAAAACCAAGAGAAATGTTCTAGTTGTAAACTGTTTGGCTCACAAAGCCGCCATTCCCGCCATAAAGAGGCAAATTTTTTAATTACATCATAATTACTCATTTTGTGCTTTTAATTTAAATATAAACATGGCGGTATAGATAGTATGTAACTATTGCACAGAACTGCGTGGAATTTTGATTATTAAACTGTTATTTTGTCAAAACTCTCATTCATTTGTGTATATAACTAATAACAGGTTACCCCTTTTACGTTACCTGGGCCTGCCAGTGACACAGCCTGTGGACCTGCGACGCTAGAAACCGGATTTCGATACATGTGATGGGCAGAGCACCGATATCCCATTGTGAAGTTTTGCGCTTAACTACAAACAAACGTTACTTGCTGCTGAATCTCTGACTTTGTAACAATCCATTTCTGTAACAAATACTTTTTCACATACATTTTTTTTTGTTTTCGGGTTCTTTTTTTGATTAAAATTGTCATTAAATAATATTTTTAATGAAATATTTGCCCATAATCATTAATGTTTAAATACACCCATTACCCCCAAATGCTTTTTGGGGGGGGGTAAGGGACGCGAACCAAGGTCGTTTAAACCTACCGTCAGCCATGATAACCGCTAGACCGCCCAGCCCGATTTGTAATGGAATTTTTCAACTGAATGCATCTAATGTGCACGTGAGTTAAACGGCTAGGTCAAGATTCATCTTTAGATGCCCCTAATTTGTCCTTCTCTTTCAACCGAATAGAGGGATTTCATTTTTATAACGTGTCCACGGTTGTAAGTGCGAAGGTGAACGGCATCATACCTCTAAGTGCGAATCTTTCGAACAGCAGCCCGACACGCTAACCTCTAGGTCGCGTCCACCCTCGTATATAATGGAAATAAACCGGATGAGAACATTATTGGAAGTTTTGCGATATCCTTCCTATAAATTCTGTTGCTTTGCTAAATTTTAATAATATACTTAACAACCTTCTTTGTATACCAGGCGTTGCCTTTTTCTGTCACTCAGTAATTCAAATAGCAGAATTACGGCTGTAAGTTAATTATAATTGTACACACCCATTTGGCTGTGAGCCAGATTAGTCCTAGTGATTAGTGTGCTGGGCTGAAGATCGCAAGGTTCAAGTCCGGCAATCACAGCTGTAAGTGCGATATAAAAGTGACAGTCAATCCTGCTATACGATTAAGAGTAGCCCATACAGATGGCGGGTGACGCTGAATATTTATCTTCCTTCTGGTCAGCGGTTCCAGGTTACGGATTGTTGTGCTTAAACCTTGGGTCATGACCTGCCTGTTAAGCCCACTTGTATAATATTAATATTTCGTTCATGTTAAAAATATCAAATGCTGTTTTGGCCTGTACATGTAAGACGCATCAAATCTTTGAAGTTATAATGGAAACGATGAGATTTAGACTTAACAGCAAACGGATAAAATTTCGGAATAATACTATGAGAAATAATGTAGAAAACCTTTCTCCTAAAGGATGTGGATGTCATGTAGCGCCATCTACACGACAGTTTTGAAATTTTTATCTATTTCTATATTAAGTCTGTTTGTTGAATTTCGCGCAAAGTAACTCGAAGGCTATCTGCGCTAGCTATTTTTACTTTGGGAGTTATATAGTAAAGGCAGCTACTCAAGAACACCCATCGCCAACTTTTGAGATGCTTTAATCGCATAGTGGGATTGGTCGTCACATTATAATGCCTCAACGACTGAAAGGGCGAGCATGTTTGGTGATGAAATTCGAACCCCATATTGCTAGACGACTGCCTTAATCACCAGCATTTATACTAAGATCGAAACTGTTACCCTTGATGGGTCAGCGGTAAGGTTGAAGACTTACAACGCTAAACTCCGAGGTTCGATTCTTCGCGGTGGACAGAGAGCTGATAGCCCGTTGTGTAGCTTTGCACTAAAAACCAACCAAACAAACCAGGGTGCAAAACTGTTTAAACTTTGTAAAAGTGA